GGTATGGCCATACAGATACGCGTTTTCTCCCGGGATGCACCGAGCTCCTCGCCGAGCCGCAAGTCCCGTTACCTCTGCGTCGGTGCGCTCCCCCTCCAGCCCCCCTCCTCCCCCGCCGGCTGGGACAGGTGACCTGTCAATCATGCAGTAATCCTCTCCAGCGTCGCACCTCGGGCGACGGACTGCAGCCAGAGACGTGGCCCGGACGGAGAGTGGAGGGGGGAGCGGCAGCCGACCAGCGAGACGCGCGGCTTGGCGCGGCGCTGCAGCGCGCCTACTAGCAAATTCAAAATTTAAATGTTCGAATCAAACTGGGGCGGATGGGCACCATGAGTTTGCGGTCTCTTTTCCAATCAATTTGATACCCGTTGAAGCTTGATATCTGCCATAGGTGTATAAATGATCTGTAAGGCCAGCGTCGCACCTCGGGCGACGGACTGCAGCCAGAGACGTGGCCCGGGCGAAGAGTGGAGGGGGAGCGGCAGCCGACCAGCGAGACGCGCGGCTTGGCGCGGCGCTTCAGCGCGCCTACGTAGCAAATTCAAAATTTAAAGGCCGAATCAAACTGGGGCGGATGGGCACCATGAGTTTGCGGTCTCTTTTCCGATCAATTTGATACCCGTTGAAGCTTGATATCTGCCATAGGGGTATAAATGATCTCTAAGGCCGGGCACCATCAAATGGTTTCACATCTTTTCGCCAGTTTCAAATCGCCGCGTCACGTCCACGATTTAAGTTCGATTTGGTCCGATATCAGCCGGAGCCAAGGCTGGGCTCGCACACCGCTTCTCCGCCCGCACCGGCCGGCCTCAGTTCCCCAGCGCAGTGCAGCTCCGGCTTAGCTCGGGCTGCCTAGGGGAGTGGAGGGGGAGGGGAAGGCGGCGGGCGGAGACAATACCGGCCGCAGGTAGCAGCGAGCGAGGCACGCTGTCCGTCACAAAGACGTCACTCAGGCCGGCCGGCCTCCACGTAGTTCCTGTCCTTTCCACCGCGCCACCTTCCAGCGCTCCGGCAAACGACCGCCAAGTTCAAAACGGGGAAAATGAGGCAAAAACAGGGTCTTTTTATTGCAGTTCGATCTCAAAAAGTACTTCTCATAGGGAAAAACGGTTTACAGCATATTGAAGGGAACATCAGGGCCTAGGGCGTCGGGTGTATGGCGGCTCTTGAAAGTGGTTAGATGCATCCGATATAGTCCGGTGAACAATGGCCTCAAAATTGACGACTTTGAACATCGAATTTTAACGTCTAAATATCTTCGCACAAACTTCCCACATACCCGCCGACCTAGATCTCGTCGCCCGATTTACGTATCTGCCATTATTTTTCTTCTAGGACTTCTACTTGTTGAGATCGAACTGCAGGAAATTTGAGGTTTTGAAAGTTCAATAACTTTGTTCAGAATTGAGCCAGGTCAAAAAAAATTTGTGGCCCGCCTCCCTGTGATGTCCCGAATAAGTGTGCAAATTTTGAGCCTGATCCGACAACTTCAATTTGCGTATCCTGCCGCCTTAAGGGAGACTGGGGTAATTCCGGACGCTTTTTTTCTTTTTGGTCTTTGAGCTTGAATATGGTTCTTGGGTCAAATGTTATCACAGGAGAGTATAGTATGGACCTTTACCTTCAAAATGGTATACATGAAAGCCAAATCTCAGAAACGGTTAGGGAGATATAGGCGCCTAACAAAAGCCCTGCACGTGTCCGGAATTGCCCCAGCCTGGGGTAATTCCGGACGACCTATGGGGCAATTCCGGACGACCTTAAAATTTGACACTATTTAAGCTTACTTTCGCTTGTTTTGATGTGAGGCATGCTTTTAGTAGGCGTACAAGGACATTTGCTGCGAACTGAAGTGTTTGATTGTTACTCAAAGCATATTATAAGGAATAGTTTCTGTCAAAACCCCTAAATTGACAACAATGTCTTGAGTAAAACTCTTAAACACAGCTGCAATGCTATTTTTCGTTATTTCTTTAGCCTTCTGAACGGTGGGGATGCATGTCCACAATTTTGAACCCACTACCTTAACATTATGCGGAAAAATTGAAGAAAATAACCCGTCTTGTCCGGATTTACCCCAAAGGTAGTGAAAACCTTGGATGTTCAATTGTAAGAAAACGGCGAGCCATACGAGCACTCCCGAAACGCCAAAGTAAAGTCCAATGACCATATAATATGATAAAATTTTAGTCATGGGACTGAACTTGACGGTAAGGTACGATAAGTACATGGAAATACGAGGGGAAGATGCAGCTTTTGCCTATTTTTGATGGTACTCAAATTTCATGAAGCGACCACAGCCAAACAGTTTGACCTCCTACCTTTGCGGTTTGGAATTATCATTTTTAACTGATTATCTTCCTCTGTTAGACGGGCTTTTGAGTTATCTTCACTCTAACCCAGTGAAAATCGAAGTGTCCGGAATTACCCCACTCTCCCTTACTTTTTGTATCACCGAAAATCGGTCAGATGTCTCACCCTTCGAGTTTCAGTGTACACTTTAAAAAAAATTTTCACAGTCATCTCTTAGTCTTTTGGGATAGAAATGCAATTGCATCATTCAACTGATTGGATTAAGCTTACCCTGCAAACAGTTGTATGTTTCTTCTGAAAAAATAAAGAAAATTGAGTTATCTCGTTCTTCCGCTTCATAGATCAAGTACGGACGTTCAGCATTTATTTCCGTACTATTCCGTCTACATTTTCCGTATCTAAGTACTCATTTTTTTTCTAACAGTGCGACGGGTTATGCTCTAGCTGCAGCTCGATCGTCTATTCCGTCGGTTTCTTAAGTTAGTATTACGCTGCCTCAAAAGTGTTCTGAGGAATCGGAAAAATCATTTTGTTCAACTTTGAACGTCAAACTACTCGGGATATAACTCAGAGAATGTGATGTTTTAGAGAAGCGCTGAGACGGATTTGGGTTGTACAAATCTTACCGTCAGAAAGAAGCCATCAAAGATGTAACGGGTTAAATGTTACGGCGTTATGTGCCGTCACTGGCCTGAGTGCCTTGCAAACTGAAGCGTGCACATAGTACACTCTTCTCGAAGCATGCTTCCAAGCACACTCTTATTCCCTTGCAAGAAAATATATGGAAATGTCAATATATGACTCCATATATGTTTCATGCATTGCCAATATAATTGTATCTTGCTCAATATGTAGCAAATTATCTTGCGAAATACGTGGTTTATCGGCTGAGCGATAGCGAAGCCCGTTACTCCAGTGCTGTTGAAAAGTTTTGTCTGTGTGTGTGTGTGTGTGTGTGTGTCTGTGCGTGTAAGTACACTGCTCCTGCACGGCTCGGCCGATCTGGCTGAGATTTTGCAGGCTTATTTGGTATGTTCTTGGCTCGGCACACACGAAATTTCACCATCCTATCTCAACTAGTTCAGATTTATACCCGAATAACACTTAAAATGGCGAAAAATCGAGTTTTCTGCAGGCAAATCACTTCTGTCTCGGGGGTCTGGGGAGGGGCGGAGCCCCCCAGCCTCGACAAGTTAAAAAGTTCCTAGGGTCAAGATCGTGTTATCTGTAGATGAAGCAACTCTATCAAGAATGAAGGGGGGTGTGGGGGGCGGAGCCCCCCAGCATGCAACAAGTAAGAAGTAACCGACGATGGACAAGTCAATGCCTGCCGAAGGCAGGCTAGCGCCGCAGGCCAAGGTAGGTACGCCAGGCGCGGATTGGAGGAACAGGCCGCGAGACATCGCGAAGCCTGTTACGACAAGACGCGGTCTGGCGTAAACCTACCTTGTTCTATGTAGGAAGTTAGCCGAGCCCTTAGAGACAAATAGCGCTATTTTTTCCGAATATTATTAAAACATAGTTGGAACAAACTTCTCTAGAAACTGAAGTGTGTACTCAGTATGCATCTACACATGCATACTTATAAGTACACACCTACAGATGCATACCTAGCTGAGTACACATCTACAGATGCATACCTGTTAAGTATCCCAGTGGGTTTTTTTGGAACATTCTTTTTATTCGAGTTGTTGCATTCTTTCTGATGTTTTTGAGGGTGCTGATGACGAAAATTTCATCTATTTCGCCCCAGACTCAGGTTCAAATCCCGTAAGGGTTTAAGGGGGGAGGCTCGTCAATTTCCGTCAAAAAAGCAAATTTTCGTTTTTGAGATTTTTGAATTCTTTGCATCAAACCCTTTCATTATGTGGCTGATTGGTTTCAAATTTCGAAACCGTTCGGCCAGAGGACAACATTTTGTAAACTATTTTCCACAGGTTAGGTTAGACCGTTCAAACTTTAGGGCCATTTTACTCAATTGCGATATTTTGGGCCTTGCGCGCATGATTTAGGCCAAACCGTTTCACGTATTGACTTGAAATTTTTTCTGGTGTTAAACCTAAACAAGACCCATAAATTGAACCTCTAGTTTCCAAATTGAACAACTGCAAGTGGTTTTTTTTAACTTCTAAAAGATCAAATTTTGTATACTTTTAAATATTTTTTGTCAAATGTAAAATAACAATAGTTAGAAACCAGATGTGTTAAACCTAGAGGTTCAATCTATAAAGCCAAGTGTCTAGTTTCAGGGGAAACAAACGGATTTGGAAAAAGTTGTCGGATAGCTTCAAAACCTTGCGCGCAGTGAATATATGTCTTTTTGCAAGGTATTTTTGATATGCCTTTAGAGCCTTGATAAAGTGGCCCAAAATAAATTATTTTTTTTACAAAATGTTCTTAAAAGTGTGATCTTTTCAATGGAAAACCCCACATTCCTTCAAAAAAATCAGGAAAGAAAAGATTTTTTTTTTAATTTAACCAAAATTTTAGTGTTAATGGCGAGCCTCCCCCCTTAACATAGTCGAAATTCGCACATTTCTTAATGTACGGGACGTGCCAATGTTGCCGATGTGTATCGCTACTTTTCCTGTTATTATATCGGAAAAGTATCTTGCTAAATTATCTTTTCCACATGTGACGTCAATACATGTTGGGCCATATATTTTGTCCATATAGTGCCCATATATTGTCCATTTTGCAAGGGTTTACAGCATACTTGCCAGGCACCCGCTAAAGTAGAGTATGTCTGGCATGTATACGCTAAATAAGAGTGTACCTTGCAAATACACGCTAAAATACACTTGATTAGTCCTATCTAAACGCATGGGTTAGTTAAGTGTACTTGCCAGGTACACACTCATTTAGCGTATACATGCAATGTACACTCTATTTTAGCGTGTGTCTAGCAAGTATGCTGTAAATAAGAGTGTGCTTGGAAGCAAGCTCGTGCTCTTGAGTGTACTATGTACACACTTCAGTTTGCAGAGAAACAGCGTAACCGTTGAAGCCTGTCAGGGATTGTAACGTGTTACCGTTATGCAATGAACTAATGCGTTATCTCGTCACGTAAACGTTAACAGCCGTAGCCTCGTCAAGATAAACAACGTATGTAAACATATATATATCATTGATTTGGACCGGAAATGAGAAATTTAATAAATCTTCAAAACCTGTAAAATGTTCAAGTATGATGTGTTAATACTTTTGAAATCTAGTAACTTTTGGTTTCCAATCCGAACCCATGACGTTGTGTTGCCGCGGTTTGTTTCTCTTGTCGAGAGGATTCCATTTCTGTAAATAGAACGTCCATTTGGAAAATATGGAAAGTTGAATAAGGTGCACGGAGATGTCTGCCGACGGTCTGCTGAGGCGCGTCTTGCAAGACGGTTAGGGTAAACGTTGTGTTCAAGAAACGGAGAATGAGCACACACTAGATGTTTGTGCACGAATTTTGTGCGAGACATTTCAGTATTCAGTGCACGCGAAATTTTCGTACAAAATTTGAACGAAAAGTTCGTTTGCACTAAGAACTGTGACGTCTCGCACAAAACTCGTGCAAAAACATTTAGTTTGCACAAGTTGTATATGTAAACAGATTTCTCCGCCGCACCCGAAGAAGCCTACGAAGGAGCTTTTGCTCACACTAAATTGCTATGTAGGTTTTTCTGCGCGCCAATGCACGAAATTAAACATGCACTTCGTAACGTACAAATTTGTGCGCGACAATGCACGAATTTCTGCATACTTGCGCACGAAATCGTGCATTGTCGCTCACATATTCGTGCGTTACGAAGTGCATGTTAAATTTCGTGCATTAGCGCGCTGAAAAACCTTCATGGTAATTGAGTGTGTTCGCGTCACCACGAAGAAAGTGAAGGCATTGTAGTTGACCCGGTGTAAGGTCTCGGATCTTGCTACCGTTAAAATTACCCCCTCCACCTCCGAAGTCCGCCCGCACCAGCCCCCGCGCTCCCGTGGGTCCTGTGCATGGAGTATGTGCATGTGCAACGGTCGCAAGAACCGAGACCTTTGGCTAGGTCGAATTTAGATTTATGAAAGGCCTTTGTTTTCTTCGTACCAAGCGATACTTCGTAGACTGAGCCTCTTTGCTTCAGTGCTAAAGGTGCTCAGTGCTCATTGGTGTCACTCCTTGTCTAATTGCAGTCGGTGAATCATGGAGTGTGCTATTTGTATGGAGAAGCTGGACACCGTCGATCGACGTCCGAAGGCTTTACCCTGTGGTCACACAGTGTGCCTGAATTGCTTGAAGGGCGCTGCATCTCTAACGTGTCCGCATTGCCGCAAGGTATGTATGTGTGCCTGCCCGGCCTGCCCTCAAATTTGTTTGCGAATCAGGGAGCACCTGGTGACAGGGTATTTTCGCTTCACCGCCGCATTTCCCGCTGCATGCCATTTTCCACAGAACAATCTATATAATTTCTGACTTGAAGCAAATAGTAGGAAATTTTCGGCCGCGAAATGATGTCTGCGATAGGGTACTTTCGTAGAATCCTGAACCGGAAGCAAGCAGACCAGCAGACGCCAAATTGGCCGGAAACTAACCTCTCTTCGGATCCAAAACTATAGCCGAGCTGTACAAATATTGCTCGCGAAACACATATGCACTTCAAACAAGTATCAAACGACTGTTTATGTTCAAGTGTGGCCGATACCTTTGACGAACGTCTCTTTCCCATGTCAAGTTTGGATCTACTTCCGCCAACATGGCGTCTGTGTGCTTCCGGCTCAGGGATCTACGAAAGTACCCTATTAGGCAAAGGAGAAATGTGCCAGAGACGTGTCCTGGCGTAACACTGATATAAACTAACATAACAAAGGCATTTTTGGAACATCAAATTTTCTAATTAGATTCATAACGTTGTATCATGTCCCTTTAATCTGACAAGAGGTGGTTGGGAACAAGAAACTCTTCGAGAATCCTCACGGAAAAGTGCTTAGTCTATCTGAAAACGGATCCACACACACTGTGCATAGGGAAAAGTGCTTAGTTTAAAAACGGCTCCACATTGTGCTTACGTGGAATTTGCATATTATTATCAGTAAAAATGCACAAGTTTATGCAAATTTAAGCGCAATTTTGTTCACAAGGGTACACGGGCTTAAAATCAGGCATCACCGCGTACACAACAGCAGGGGGTGGCAACGGCCTAGGGAGAGCGTGCAGCGCCGTCAGAGCAGAGGTTGCGCACTTGTTCGAGATCATGAAAACCGTCATCAGTGTTTTTCAAAACGCTTTGCACCGAAGGAAAGGGCTTAAAATTTAGGGTGCATTAGGCTAATTGCTCTTCTCGAAACTCCCCTCTGACTTTATATTAAGGTGCAGTGAAAACACCAAAAACACGAGAAATCATAAAATTCAGGAAAAACTGGAATGCGCCATGTTGATGTAAATGATTCCGCCCTTGTGTTCGGTTGAATTGGAAGTATCGGGCAGTCCTTTTGATCTGCGCAAAGCGTTTTGTAATCAACGGGCAAGATCTTCCAATCGAAGCAAACTAAGTAACCCCTGCACCTCCCTCGAGCATGGCTTCACGCTTGACCGTCCCTTATTTTTAGGCACGAAGTAGCCTTATAGTATACCCAGGATTCAGCCGGCCCGAGATTCGACTTGTGTGGCCCTTTATGCATTTCGGAAATTTTCTATACGATTTTAACGAGATTTTGCAGACTTGTAGAACTTTAAACGCTGATTCTGATGCTGAAATCTGGTTAAAAATTTGGTGGCCAATTCTGTGAAATTTGCTGTCAAAATCGCCGTTTCCAAGGCAAAAATCGATTCGTCAAAGGAAAAAATAGGGGGTGGGGGGAGCCGAGCCGGGCCAATAGCGGAGCTTCTTTTTGGGTCTGTACAGCTTACTCCAAAAGCTGAAATAGCACGTTCGAAATGAAAAATTTCTTTGACTGCAGCTAGAAGAGATCCAACAATAATTGATGTCGTTTCGAACGTGGCCATTTGGATCGGCCGGCCGGCCAGTAACTTTTTATGAGAGTGTCCCGCACCGCTGCGTTGTTGTTTTTGTTGTTGTATTGTTGCAAATTTTTGTTACTCTTCAAATCGGAGTGAATTGAGCCATTTAACTGCGTACCTGTGCACATGCATCTGTGAATTATCTTTCCTTAATGTAGTTTAAGAGTCGCTATAAGACTTTTAATTTCTTTTTGAATAAGCTGGTCATGTAGCTGCTCCTTTTAGCGAGGTTTGATGGTACTTCTGATTCAGATAGCACCATGATCACTTCGCTCAGTGCTCATGTTCCTCGAACAAGACTCACCCGCGTTTCGAGACCATCCCTCTCGAGTTTTTAAAGTTTGTCAAGGCAACCGTCGTGGTGTTGCTACGTTATCAGTGAGAACTATTACACAAAATTAAAGAAAACATGACCAGAGAACCGTAGGCTTTTGAAACAAGCCAAACAATTCAACGTCAGCAACAATGGAGGGGCAGTTTTCAATCGCGACTATACTCGTGTTTTCAGCTTCGCGATTTTCGTAAGGGCGCAGACGCCGACAAAATTGTTGCCAACCCGCGAAAATTAATTTACTGCCTTCTTTCTGCTATCAAAATTTTCATAATGATGGACTTCAAAGATGTTCCTTTGTCAGATCACTGTGGAATACATTAGCATTGGAAATTTTCGAATTTCCCGGCATTTTGATTTCTCTTTATTGCAAAGTCTAAATTTTAACGGGTGGCACATCGACCACATTGGTACCACTGCCATTCGTAGCCACCCTTGAGCCACCCCCTACCTTTTACATAACTTTTTTGCTTTCCCCACACTCCTACCCAAATTGACTTCGTGACTCCTAGGATTTCTTGAAATCGTATTTTTTCAAATTGAACCGAGACAAAAGTTCGTGGAGCCAAATTGTTCCATTTGGTGAGAAAACACCTCTGCCAAAGTTTGGTGGTGCTACGATATCGCATGGCCGAGCCTGAGGGGCCTAAGTGCAAATTTCAAAAATCGGCTGATTTCGGAATTTGAAAGTTGTCTTCCTAGTAAGTACGTCATTTTGATGCCCATAGGGCGAAAATTTCAAGCGTTTTGCCGTATCTCGAACCGGTATGGCCGAAATGGCGCTCTGAACGCGCTCCGCCACTGCGCGGAAGGCCGATCTGGACCCAACTACGATGCTTTTGGGCTGCACCAAGCCGCCCCGGAGGGCAGTTGATCACCGGGTCGCTGTCAGCACCTTCCCAAAACATGTATCTGAATTATCTCTGAAAATTCTAATGTGGTTAGTGGGATACTCTATAGGAAAATTCTGAAATATGCCCTCGAAGTGTCAAATTTAGCCATTATAGCATTTTTCGCGTGTTTTGGTGTAAAATTTGGTCTTTATCACGTCTGTTATGAAATCCAACCTACCAATTACTATGCAACTGGTCAAACACATGTTTTGGGAAGGTGCTGACAGCGACCCGGTTATCCACTGCCCTCCGGGGTGGCTTGGTGCAGCCCAAAAGCATCGTAGTTGGGTCCATTTCGGCCTTCCGCGCGGTGGCGGAGCGCGTTCAGAGCGCCGTTTCGGCCATACCGGTTCGAGATACGGCAAAACGCTTGAAATTTTCGCCCTATGGGCATCAAAATGACGTACTTACTAGGAAGACAACTTTCAAATTCCGAAATCAGCCGATTTTTGAAATTTGCACTTAGGCCCCTCAGGCTCGGCCATGCGATATCGTAGCACCACCAAACTTTGGCAGAGGTGTTTTCTCACCAAATGGAACAATTTGGCACCACGAACTTTTGTCTCGGTTCAATTTGAAAAAATAAGGGACGGTCTACTTCACGCGCTTCCTAGGCCGTTGCCGCCCCCTGAAAACAGAGATCCTTAACTTAACATTAAACTAACACTGCTTTCATAACGTAACATAAGACAATGTTCGCTAAAGGTTAAGGGTACGGACTTTCAGAAGTACTTCCAAAAATAGCTCTACACAAATTCAAAACACAAAAAAATAACTTACCCTTTTTGAAAAGATGTCAGACGTTAAGGTTTATAACTTTAACTCTTACGATAACGTTATGATGCCCATATAAGGTAAGTTAAGGATCCCTGGTATAAAATTGTACGTAAACATTTAGCGTGCATCAAAAACTGAATGCCCCCGCTGAGCAAAAATTTAGAAAACTGTGCCTTGTGACAGAATAAACGAATCCTTGGCGCGCGGAAGTTCTAGATGACAGTAATCGACCTACTTTTGACCACATTTCGAAAAGTGTCCAAAATCTCGTCTCGTCTGAATTTCAAACTTATCCTGACGCTTGCAAACTAAATCCTTGCACTCAGCAAACCTTATTAACTAACTTAGGCCTTACAAAATAAAGCAGCTTGTTTTAAAGTATTTGGAGCATACATAAGTTTACGAAGGAAATACTTCGTACTCTACGAACTATTTCTTCTCGTAACGAAGTAAATTAGTTTGTACTGTGTATGCTTAAAATACGTCGTAACGTTTTAAGCGTGTGGCCCAGAAATTCTTATTGCAAACATGTCCTTAGGATGGCATCTAAATTCTAGAGTCCTGTCACCTATCCTAACCTGTCACGACATCTGCAGATGCCCTCAACAACCCTGCCATAGCCCCAGGCATCGGAGTGTATCTTGGAGCCCCTGTAACTAGGTGCCCCACCCTCCCCCATCTTGCAAACTGATTTTATGAACGAGCTGATCACTTTCGTACCGTGAAGTTTTAAGTCTACTATTAGTCTCTTACGCACTCATGTAAAAAATTCTGTCGAACTAGTTTCCCTTTCAGTGTTAAAGTTTCCTTCACAATGTGCCTAGACGAAATGTTCAATGTGTCCAAACTTAAGAGTTGCAGCTCACCGACTTCTGCGTCTGGAAAGGATTTGCAAGCTGTGGGGCGAGGCACGGTGCGGTTGTCCACCTTTTATGACGTCCCTGCATTCTGTCTTCAGGTTTTCCCCGGTCCGCCTGAGGCGCTGCCCGACAATTTCTTCTTGCTGGGATTGATAGAGGAGCGGTGCCATCAAGATCAGAGGTGAGAATTGATCCACGAACTGTATTGGTAGCCTGGAGGTTTAAAAATGTTACCAAAACATCGGTCAAGACCCCTTGAAAATTTCAAACCTCTACGTCAAGTATTATAAGATCTGAGAGCAATCAAAGTTTTGGGGAGTTTGGATCCCGAAAGTCATCATTTTCTAGCTCTGATAAGAACAAAATCGGGTGTCGTCCTATTCTAGCTCTGATTAGAACAAAATCTGGAGTCGTCTTATTCTAGCTCTGATAAATTCAAAATCTGGAGTCGTCTTTTTCTAGCTCTGATAAGAACAAAACCTGGAGAAAAAGACGACTTTGTCCACGAAAAAATGTTTTGTGGCACCATTTTAAAAATGCGTTCCAGAGGTGCTAATCAAAAAGGAGATCGGTAAAAAAATTATTTTTCGGGGTCTAAAATCACCTAAGCTCTAATGGTAAAATGGACCAAAACTTTGATGGCTCACAGTTCCTATAATACTTGACGTAGAGGTTTGAAATTTTGAACAGGGATGCTTTGGTAACATTTAAACCAAAAAGGAACGCAATCGTCGATGGTCAACTTCGAACGGCACTATAATGCCCCAATTTTTAGTAATAATAGTGAAATCGAGCAACTTTGAGACCCCGTATTGGCTGAACCCGACTTCGTAGAGCCTCGTGCGACCCGTCATTTGAAAGAGCGCACCTTTTTGGAACCTGAAACGCTTTTGGGTACTTTTTTTGGATCTCGGTTTGCGAGAACCCATCTACTCCCAAACCCTCGAAAACAGCCAATTTTGGGGTCTTTGGACCCCTACCAAAACCACAGGGGTTGTCGGATTTCGTCCAAATGTCTATTCGGCAGTTTGTATGCACTCTACAAACTGAAGTGTGTACTCAGTATGCGTCTACAATGCATACTTGCAAGTACACGTCTACAGATGCATACTCAGCTGAGTACACATCTCGAGGGGTCCTATTCAAAAGATCTTATCTGCGCGTTCCCCCCAAGACAATCTTATCTCAAACGCATGTGAATTTTTCTCAGTTTGATCATTTAATACAGCTACAAATCAAATTCATTTGTGATGAAATTCACTGAAATGTGGAGATGAAAGATCAAAGAAACCAAAACAACATGTAAAAATATATTCCGCTTACTCTCGTACGTGTCCCAACTGGTCAAACTGGGTGAAATCCGCATGCGTTTAAGATAAGATTGTCTTGGGGGGAACGTGCAGATAAGATCTTTTGAATAGGACCCCTCGATCTACAGATGCGTACGTAACTCATCCAAGTGTGCATCTGCAGATGTGTACTCAGCTGAGTATGCATCTGTAGATGTGTACTCATCTAAGTATCCATGCATCTGTAGGTGTGTACTCATCTAAGTATGCATGCATCTGTAATTAGGTGTGTACTCATCTAAGTATGCATGCATCTGTAGGTGTGTACTCATTTAAGTATCATGCATCTGTAGTGTACTTGCAAGTATGCGTGTACAGACGCATACTGAGTACACAGTTCAGTTTGTAGAGCATACAAGGAACCGATAAAACACCATAAGTGCCCGCTTCTAGGATGTCGCCGGCTAAGTGTTTTGTTTTTGTCTGGAGCTTCTCTTTCCGTTTGTCGCGAGGAGAGTAGAATTTGAGCCTTCCTTGACATCCGTGCTCTGCGCAGGTTCTGGTGCCGGGACTGCGGCCAGGCTGCCACCGAGGACTGCGTGGACCTGCCCCACTCCGTGTGCTCCCTGCGCAAGCTGCGCGCGGAGCAGGCGGCCGCCAAGCTGGAGCGGCTCAGGAGCGGCGCGTCGGCGGCGCGGAGGCTGATGCAGGCCCTCGTCGACACCCAGCAGGCCGTGCAGGCCCAGCTGGACGAGCTGCAGGCCAGGCTGCACGTGGTGGAGGAGGCCGAGAGGGAGCTCCGCGCGGCGGCGGACAAGGGCCGCGCCGTGGAGGCCGCCGAACCGGCGGGTCTGGAGCAGCTGCTGGAAGAGGCCAGCCTCCTGCAGGCCGGCTGGGGGCTGCAGCTCAGGAAGGACGGCGCCGACTGGAAGGGCGAACAGCGGCTAGGTGGCGGTGCCAGGACTCTGCTCTGCCCGCTTGTGCTGCACCTGCAACGCGAAGGCGGCGGCGCCGAGGTAAGCCGGCTTCATCTTTTGGGAACTTTTTGACCATACACACACAATGTTTTTATACAAATTTTGTACGAGACATCACAGTTTTTTGTGCACACGAACTTATCGTACACTGAGAAAACCTTACAAACTATTTCGGGCCTTACAAAGAAAAGTAGTTTGTATAACAAAGTATTTTGAGCATACGTAAGCTTACAAAGAAAATACTTCGTAATTTACGAACTATTTCTTCGTATAACAAAGTATTTTAGTTTGTTATATGTATGCTCAAAATACTTCGTAAGGTTTTAAGAGTGTACAAATTTGTTCAAAATTTTGTACTATTTTGTTCAAAATTAGGGGAAAATTGTACGAAAATTTCGTGTGATCAAAAAACTATGATGTCTCGTACAAAATTGTACATATCATTTCGTGTGTAACTATGTCATGTCCATTTTCCCATGAAAGTCAGGCGCAATGTGGAAATATTATCCCTTACGTTTAAACTTACACATAGCCTATCTTGCGTAACACCCTAAAACCTTACGAACTCTAACTTTGTTTTACGAGGAAATAGTTCGTAAATTGCGAAGTATTTTTTCTGTAAGCTTACGTATGCCGAAAATTTCTTTGTTATAACAAGCTGCTTTTCTTTTTAACACCTAAAATAGTGACCTATTCGATCTCAGTGACGGTATAAACAGTCCTTTACGCCCTACAGCCCTACAGGGGCGTAAATCGCTTTATGGCCCTTGGAAGGGCGTGAATGATATGGGGTATTAAGGCGTAATTTCAAAGCCCTTTCAAAGGCATTAACTTTCCGGGGGTGTGAACCGTTATCAGGGGGCGGCAACGGCCTATGAAGCGCGTGAAGCCATGCGCGAGGGAGGTGCAGGGGTTACTTATTTTGCTTCGATTGGAAGATCTAGCCCGTTGATTGCAAAATGCTTTGCGCAGATCAAAAGAGCACAAAATTTAAGGCGCATTAGGCCTAGAAGACTGCCCGATACTTCCAATTCAACCGAACACAAGGGTGGAATCATTAACATCAACATGGCGCATTCCAGTTTTTCCTGAATTTTTTGATTTCTCGTGTTTTTCGGTGATTTCACTGCACCTTAATTGGCTGAGCGATAGCGAAGCCTGTTACTCCAGTGGGTTTGAAAAATTTTTCCTGTCTGTCTGTCTGTCTGTCCGTGTGTGTGTGTGTGTGTGTCTGTGTGTCCGCACTACTCCTCCTGAACGGCTCGGCCGATCTCGGTGAGATTTTGCATACTCTTTGGGTATGTCCTTGGCTCGGCACACGCGAAATCTCACCATCCTAGGTCAACTGGTTTAGTTTTTATAGCCAAAAAACACTTAAAAAACGGCGAAAAATCGAGTTTTTTGTAGGCAGATCGCTTCTGTCGTGATAAAAGGGGGGTCTGGGGGGCGGAGCTCGGTTGGGAAAAAGTACAAGGGTCAAGATCGAGTTATCTGGAGATGAAGCAACTCTTTCTAGAATGAAGGGGGGTCTGGGGGGCGGAGCCCCCCAGCACGCAACAAGTTAGGAAAATTGACGATGGAGATGGAGAAGCCATTGCCTGCCGAAGGCAGGCTAGCGCCGCAGGCCAAGGTAGGTACGCCAGGCGCGGATTGGAGAAACAGGCAGCGAGCAGACATCGCGAAGCCTGTTACGACAAGACGCGGTCTGGCGTAAACCTACCTTGTATTAAGTCAGAGGGGAGTTTCGAGAAGAGCAATTAGCCTAATGCACCCAAGGTTCCAAGCCCTTTCCTTTGGTGCAAAGCGTTTTGAAAAACACTGTCTAGATTTCATGATCTCGAACAAGTTCGCAACCTCTGCGCTGACGGCGCGAGCATCGCTTCACGCTCTCCCGAGGCCGTTGCCACCCCCTGCCGTTATACTCTGAATCGCTACAGACGTTACTAACGAAATAATCGGTCCAGTCTGCACTCTGAGAAAAAATGACGGTAAATCCTGGATAATTTTTTTGCCAAACTTTACCGTACTTCAAAAACCAGTATCCACCGTACAGTCTACAGTATTTTCCGTACTTGTTTTACAAAATATTCCGTAGTTTTTTTATCAGTAGTTACCGTTCATTCGTACAGTGCATGCCGTAGGAAGGACCAGATCTGGTCCCAACAAAGGCCGCTCCCAAGAATTGTCCACATCAGGATCTTGAAAAAAGGGGATCGACCGACTGAAAAATTTTATTGCACCTTTCGATAGGTCTCGTCAAGACCTTTTTAACGAGTGGTCGGAAAGGGGGTCCAGGAGTCCGACTTCAGCAGTTATGTACATCTGAATCTTGAACAAGCTAGGGCCCGCCCTTCCGTCGAACCGAGTTGCCAGCTCCGCTTCGCTGCGCCGGCAACTCGGTTCGACAGGGGGCCGGCCCAGCTTGGCCTGCCGGCGGCCTTTTCTCGGGCCTTCGGCCCTCGCATCAGACCCAACTTGGCCAGTCGAAGGCCCGGGCCTTTGGCCCGCTCGCATCACACACAGCGTGAGCGGGTAAAGCAAGGTTATCGATGTACCATCGTGACTTAGGCCCGCCCTTCTATTCACAATATGCAATAGTCCTTACACTTTTTACTCCAACTGTCCTTAGAATATGCCCATTTCATTTGTCTCTTCGCCCTCATTCCGAAAATACCCATATTTGCCATGCTACTGCAACTCCTTGCAATAGAGGGACAGCAGGAGCGCAAAACGAGTCCGTCGCACTTTTTCCCATAACTCATGAAGGCGGGCTCCTGGACCCCCCTTCCGACCCCTCGTTGAAGAGGTCTTGCCAAGACCTATCGAAAACTTAAGTAAAAATTTTCAGTCGGCCGACCCCCTTTTTTGAAGATCCTGATGTGACTAATAGACGAAGTCGGGGTCCTGGACCCCCTTTCCGACCCCTCGTTGAAAAGGTCTTGCTGAGACCAACCGAAATCTGCAATAAATTTTTTTAGTCGGTCGACCCTCTTTTTTGAAGATCCTGATGTGACTAATAGACGAAGTCGGGCTCCTGGACCCCCTTTCCGACCTCTCGTTGAAAAGGTCTTGCTGAGACCAATCTAAATCTGCAATAAATTTTTTTAGTCGGTCGACCCCCTTTTTTGAAGATCCTGATCTGGCCAACTTGTAAAAGCGGCCGATGGGGTCGGGACCAGGTCCATTCATCTTGTCTCGTCGCCCCGATTCCAAAAATACCCCTATGTGCCCTTCTAGCACCAATAATGGTGGAAATCCCCCTCCCGCTCATGTAAACCATGATGCACCTGCAGCAGCCCTTGTGCGACCCGGACGGGATTTGCACCACCGGATTATTTGTTTGGACGGTACTCCTGAAGTACCCTCCAAATCTGGTTACTCTAGCTCAACTCCTTCCTTGTACACAGACGCCAACAACAACAACAACAACAACAACAACACACAGACACAAAGGCAAATGCATAGGCCCTCCCCCTATTTTTTGAATAGAAGGGCGGGCCAAAAACAAGGGTCGACCGACTGAAATAAATTATAGCAGTTTTTGATAGGTATTAAAAGTACGGGATTGCCGGGTAAAAAAGTACGGGATTCCTTGTAAAACAAGCTAGGGCCCGCCCTTCCGTCGAACCGAGTTGCCAGCTCCGCTTCGCTGCGCCGGCAACTCGGTTCGACAGGGGGCCGGCCCAGCTTGGCCTGCCGGCGGCCTTTTCTCGGGCCTTCGGCCCTCGCATCAGACCCAACTTGGCCAGTCGAAGGCCCGGGCCTTCGGCCCGCTCGCATCACACACACCGTGAGCGGGTAAAGCAAAGTTATCGATGTACCATCGTGACTTAGGCCCGCCCTTCTATTCACAATATGCAATAGTCCTTACACTTTTTACTCCAACTGTCCTTAGAATATGCCCATTTCATTTGTCTCTTCACCCTCATTTCGAAAATACCCATATTTGCCATGCTACTGCAACTCCTTGCAATAGAGGGACAGCAGGAGCGCAAAACGAGTCCGTCGCACTTTTTCCCATAACTCATGAAGGCGGGCTCCTGGACCCCCCTTCCGACCCCTCGTTGAAGAGGTCTTGCTGAGACCAATCGAAATCTGCAATAATTTTTTTTAGTCGGTCGACCCCCTTTTTTGAAGGTCCTGATGTGACTAATAGACGAAGTCGGGCTCCTGGACCCCCTTTCCGACCCCTCGTTGAAAAGGTCTTGCTGAGACCAATCGAAATCTGCAATAAATTTTTTTAGTCGGTCGACCCCCTTTTTTGAAGATCCTGATGTGACTAATAGACGAAGTCGGGCTCCTGGACCCCCTTTCCGACCCCTCGTTGAAAAGGTCTTGCTGAGACCAATCGAAATCTGCAATAAATTTTTTTAGTCGGTCGACCCCCTTTTTTGAAGATCCTGATGTGACTAATAGACGAAGTCGGGCTCCTGGACCCCCTTTCCGACCTCTCGTTGAAAAGGTCTTGCTGAGACCAATCTAAATCTGCAATAAATTTTTTTAGTCGGTCGACCCCCTTTTTTGAAGATCCTGATCTGGCCAACTTGTAAAAGCGGCCGATGGGGTCGGGACCAGGTCCATTCATCTTGTCTCGTCGCCCCGATTCCAAAAATACCCCTATGTGCCCTGCTAGCACCAATAATGGCGGAAATCCCCCTCCCGCTCATGTAAACCATGATGCACCTGCAGCAGCCCTTGTAGGACCCGGACGGGATTTGCACCACCGGATTATTTGTTTGGACGGTACTCCTGAAGTACCCTCCAAATCTGGTTACTCTAGCTCAACTCCTTCCTTGTACACAGACGCCAACAACAACAACAACAACAACAACACACAGACACAAAGGCAAATGCATAGGCCCTCCCCCTATTTTTTGAATAGAAGGGCGGGCCAAAAAGTACGGTGTTGCCTGTAAAAAAAAGTACGGTGTTGCCTGTAAAAAAACGACGGTTTTGCCTGTTAAATAAAGTACGGTGAAGTCTGGAGTAATCAGTACAGGATTTACCGTGATCTTTTCTCGCAGTGTAGAGAGCCCCAA